TTTTAGTTCATATTTTCTTTATAAACACTACTCTTGTTATACTAATGCCATTTACTTTCCCTGTAGGTAAATTTCTCACTACTAGTTCACTATACCACTTAGTCCTCTAGCAAGACAGACCCTGGGATCACTGCCAACAAAACAGCACTTGAGAAAAGAAAACATTTTTTAGGTTATTAAATTTTAAAGCACAAGTGAATTAAAAAGATGATTTAAGATAAAAATTAATTGAATATTTATGAAATAGCATGATATGAAAGTTGAAAGGAAACTATGAGGAGGGAAGGGCCATGAAAATAGAGGGAAAACTGGAGGCAGGAACTGGACCAGCAAGGCAGGGAGAAGGAGGATGAGAGAGGGTTACCAGGGAGTGGATAAAATCAAAATATAATGATACATATATATGGAAATGTGATAATGAAATTTCTTTCTTTGCATGTTAACCTAAACTTCAAAATAATAAAGTTAAATAAAATAGCATGCATTTTTAACACTTTAAAAATAACTGTTATACATCAGAATTTTTAAATCATTTTCCAAAAAATGCTATTTTTTTCAGATTTTCAAGGTGCTAATTGCCCACGGGAGGGACTATGTCCAATCAAACGTTTGGAAAATATTGGGTTCAAGTTAGGCAGTTTTAATTAGAGAACATTCCCTGAGAGCACTCTGGTAATGTGCACATTGGCTTTTCTGTCTCTCAGGTAGAAGGTAAAAAGCTATGTGCTTTTGAGACGGTAAGCAAAACAGGCTCAAATTTGTGAAGACAATTGTGGTTTAGAGAAAACAGTGAGAGACATGAAGAGCAGAACTCTTGGAGTGGGAGATGTGTAAGGAAGCTCTTAAAAGACATTGTTTAATACTGTTAATAATATAATAATATTATAATAATAATAATAATAATAATAATAATAATAATAATAAGAGCTGCTTGTGAAAATTCTCATGTCCCAACTTTCAGAATAAAAGTTTACAGATTAGGTGACTCAAATGAAAAGACTCACTTGCTCCAATGTTCTGATGACCTCTTGTGGCTCAAAAGCAAAATGGTCCCTTGAGAAACTACTGACACACTGGAAAAGAGTATCCCTTGCTCTAGTGAGCAAAAGAGACAATAAGAGCCAAGTGTGGTAGAGCAGCATGACTTGTTAGATGTCTGATAAGTCATGATGCAGAGGCAGGAAGTGCATAAGCTTGAAGCCAGGCTGGACAAGACTCTGTCTCAAAATAAATAAATCCCAGTAAAACAAAATACAGACTCTGGATTAAATGAAAAAGAACGTCCTTGCGTTTTTTTTTTTTTTTTTTTTTTTTTTTTTTTTTTTTTTTTTTTTTTTTTTTTTTTTTTCTTTTTTTCGAGACAGGGTTTCTCTGTGTAGCTTTGCGCCTTTCCTGGAACTCGCTTTGGAGACCAGGCTGGCCTCGAACTCACAGAGATCCGCCTGGCTCTGCCTCCCGAGTGCTGGGATTAAAGGCGTGCGCCACCACCGCCCGGCCCCTTGCGTTTTTGAAGTAAACAGATACTTGAGGATTTTGAAAGTCTTGCTTTTGCTTTGTCGTTGTGCCCACATAAATATGTATCTATTAATACATGATTTCTTTCCTCTCCTTTTCTCATAAGACTGAGATGTCTTGTCAGACATCTAACAAGTCATGCCATGGTCTCACTGAAGAGTGCTGAGCTGCCATGAGGGAAGGCATGAACCTAATCAGCCCCAGCTTTAATTAATATACAAACAAAACGTAATATTTTGTTCAAATACAAAAGGTGAGCGAACATTAGATCAAGTCTCCCTGTAATCACTGACAGAGCAGGTTTAACAGCTAACCTGAATATGAAAGTCTTTCCTCTTCTTTTCAGAAGAAAACATTAGGACATCCAGAACTTCCGGTTAGTCGGGGGCTGATACAATCCAAATACATTGTATAAATGTATGAAATTCTCAATGAATGGGAAAAAATTAAATAATATCAACACTTTTCTAACACTTAAAATTATCCAAAATTGACTAAGTGTAAGTGTTCTTGTTTCCAACCTCAGAAGGACGAGCATTTCTGAGGCGGCCTATAAAGCCCATGATCTGATCACAGAAGATCCATTGATCCAGGAGTGCCCTCTGCCTGCAGTATGATAACTATTTGAAACCAGTGTCCAGAGAGCTGGTTTAGTTTGCTGCTATCTTTCTGGTATTGAACACAGCATGTGTTTTCTGGGTTTGCTTGTTGGAACCCACTTTAATCTAGTTGAGATCCTTGAAGAAGTAAATGCAAAAGTTAAGTTTGTGTGTCTGTCGAAGTCAATATTTCAGCAGGACATTTTCCTTAGATGGATGGGGGTGTTTGTTCTGTTTTTGATATGTTCAATTTTAAATAGGGGGATATTTAAGGAAAGGCAATCATATACTCATCTCCAGAGGAGCTGAGCATATCTGCTCAAGAAACCTGCCACCCAGGAACTGACCTCAGCTTCCAGAAAGGCATGTAAGCACACACACTACACAGCACATGCAAGGCCTTTTCCTGGACTGCAGTAACAAGGGTGATCTTCTCATGGTTCATCAATGTTGTTGAAATGGCAGGATTTCCTTGGTTTTGTGACAATAATAATAAAAGCACACATCAATTTCTTTATGCACTCATTTGTTGATGAATACCTCAGATGTTTGCAAGTCTTGGCAATTTTGAATAGCACCACAATGAACATGGAAGTATAAATATCCTTTTGAAACACTAATGTCAATTTCTTTAGCTATATATATCCAGTTGTGGGATTGAGAACACAAATACTGTTTGATCTCACTTATATGTGGAATCTGAAAAGCTGAGTTTATAAAAACAAGGGTTAGAATTACCAGGGATGAGGACTGAAGGGCTGTGGAGATGCTGGCCACTGGGGGTACAGTTTTGGTCATAAGGTAAATAACTCTGGGATGCTCATGTATAATGTGATGACTATAGTTAATAATAGTGTATTGTATACTTGTACTAAAAGTGGAACAATGGCAGCATATTCTGAACTTCATTTGTTCTACAGAATGTGAATGTGTTGTTGTTATTGTTTTCTGATTCACATAAAAAGCCTTTAAATACTGCAACTGGAGAGGAGGCTCAGAAGTTAAGAGCATTTCCTGCTCTTGCAGAGGACTAGGGTTCAGTTCCCTGCATCCACATCAGATGACTCACAACTGCCTGTAATTCTAGTACTAGGGGATCTAATGTCTCTTCTGGTCTACTCAGGCACCTGCACACACTCAGCAGACATTCATATGTGTGTGTGTGTGTGTGTGTGTGTGTGTGTGTGTGTGTGTGTGTATGAATACAACATATACATATATTAAATATATACAAATGTTTAAATATATACATATATAAATCTTTTTGTAAGTTTTTAAATACTAAAAGAAAATGTCTATTTTTCTTGTTTTCATGGGATAGATACCCCTAGCAGAGTAGGCCAAGAAGAGATACAAGGGAGCACACTGTTAGATGGGATGTTTTCTGTTGGGCTGACAGTGCAGCTCATTGGTATAGTTTGCCCAGCATGTTCCACGGTCTGATTCAGTATTCAGCACTGGAAAAAAAAAAGAATGAAATCAGAAAAATTACCATAGAGATAATAACCTCCAGCATATAAATAGTGAAACATAATAATATGATAAAAACTTTGTTGTTATACATTATTTCTCACTTCCATCCATTTTAACTATATGAAATGATGACATACAATCATCATCAGACCTATGAAAGTGATAGATAAGCTCATAAGCTTCACAATAAAACATATTCAGGATGTTTATAGATGGTGGGATTGGGGGAAGGCCGACCATAGCAATATTACAAAAACCTCGGTCGCCCATCAGTTGCAGACTTTCAGATGTGAGCATTGTGTAAAGCTAACTTTGATTCTCTGTGGTTCTACAAAAACTACAGCAGCATTTACCTTGATTGGAACTTTTCTATTCCCAGTCAGTGTGGGAAAACTGAGAAAGCCCGGAGAAGTTCTGACCCTTAACTCTATGTGAGCATTTGGCAGAACTCATAGGCAATCCTACCTAAGAATTCCACGCTGAAGACATTAGTCAGCTTGTGAGCCAAGTATGTTGGGGAAACAAGGGACCCTTTGGAGCATGAAACTCAGCAATTAGGTGCCGGCTTGGTTGAGACCCACAGCACTGCCGGCTGTGCTTTCTGAGGACCCTCATGGCTTTTGAGATCTGATTCGTTATCTGTGACTGGGGGAGTCATGGCATGTGTCTCAAAGTAACCACAAGAAAAAATAAATAAATAAAGAGTGCATTATCATCTGCCGAATTGTGCAAAGGGAGTGGTGTATTGTTGTATAAATGCAAGGCTCTGATCCTCTACTGCCTGAGAAATGGCTAGCAGCCCTGGGCAAAGTGCAAGGCATTACTAATTATTTGTTTAACAATTACACTATACTGCAGAATTATCTCCTCTGTCTGCAAACATTTTTTTTAATGCTTTTTGCTTATGCTATTTTTTGAGACAGTTTCATTCTGTAACCCAAACTGTCCTCAAATTCATGGCAAATCTGCTTCAGTCTCTCAAGTGCTACAACTGGAGGCCATCACACCCAGCATTTTTAAAAAGAGTTTTAAAAAAGAAACTTTCGTTCACATTAACAGTCCTAAAAAAATGGAATAAATGTAACATAATTAAAGTTCAGATGTAGAAAAGGTATATTTACCTTGTCATTGGCAAAACTGGACATGACCTTGACTGTGGGAGGGAAGAGACGACCAGGACCCCTCCTCTCCCCTCCTCTGGTCCTGACAGTGAATTTCTCCAGGGTGTACTTAGACCATCTGGCTGACTCACTGTTGATGTAAAAACAAGACCCAGGCACTGTGTTGAAAGCTGTTGAGACTGGAGTAAACTAGTCAGTGGCACCCTGACTATCAGCTGAGCACTGCGACACCCACACCTTCCCGATCAGACCAGGGCCAGCATTCTGTGTCTGCCGCTTCAGCCTGAGCAGTATGTTTGAGACTGCAGAGCTGTACTTCAATGTGGACCATGGCTACCTGGAGGGCCTGGTGCGAGGATGCAAAGCCGGCCTCCTAACTCAGCAGGACTATGTCAACCTAGTGCAGTGTGAGACCTTGGAAGGTAAGTCGTTCACCTTACCCCATTAAAAGAAAACACACAAACAAAAATGATGTTGCTCTCTGGAAGGGAGAGAAAGGGACTGTGATGTTCTAGTCAGAAGGCAGGAACAGGTTTTTAGTCCTGGAATTTAGGCGCCCTGAGGCCTGTGGTTTGGAGACCTTGGATGTGAGGAGAAAAGATCTGTATCCATACTCTCTAGACACAATTTAACATTCCCTTCCATAATGAATGCAGGGGATACCCACCCAAGAAACCCCCACCTGTCCCCCTGAAGTTCTTGCAGATATTTGCAAATATATTGTTTCTATATGAATCCTTTGACCTTGATTTGTAATGTCTCAATAAAGAGTACTTCTCACACATTTTTGATATATCCTGATAATTGTGCTTTAAAATACTGTGTTTCCTTGGTTGTCCTATCCACATAATTATAAACACTATTTGGTAAGGACCTTCACCAAACATGCTAGAGTCTACGGAGAAAGGAACAGCTAATAGTTGGAGTGTAGAGAGATGTTTGTCTAGCTCCAGTTTTTTAGTATTGATTAGAGAACTTGTTTGAGATTTTCCTTTAACTGAAGGACAAGTGAGAAAGAAAAGCCAGGAGTGTGGTGGGCTGAAAGTCCTGGCTTTGACCTCTGCTGTGTCTAAGTTGGTGACCCAATTCTTCAAAGACGCTGAGCCTCAAAAGGCCTCCCTTATACATGAGGAAAGAATTCCTACTTAGTTATTAAGGAGAAAAAAATAGATACACACCCAGTGAATGATAATTTTTCTTAAATCACATCTTTTCCCAAACTTTAACAAAGAATGCACATCTGTAACCATTTTGTTATTAAAAACAGCTTTTCTTACTCATTCTTGAGAAACTTCCAGATTATTCTAGAAGTAAGAGAGCAATAAGGGAAAAACTGTTTGAAAAGGAATTAACTGGGTGGCACACAGGAGGTGGGGGTGGGGACAAACCATATTTAAAAAACAGCTTCTGAAGGTGACTTTGCTAGCTTCCCTGTGAGCCTGGAGGGAGCTGAGATTACTGCTGTATAGTTGTGACTAGTTACAGCCAGAGTTAAGTGCTTAAGGTGGGATCAGCCTTGACCTGCCCTTTGATTTACTTTATAAACAGATCTTTCAGATGGTAAGTAATTCTATTGACTCCAAACAATGATACATAATTCCAAATACAGCATATTCAGTTAGGAGTTTGATGACTAGAGAATGTTAATTGCTTATAGAAATGTCTGCATAAATTAAAGTAGAAAAAAAACCCTTAACACAGGACAGAATACTTGCTTCAGAGAGAAGTCAGTCATTTGGATGAATTCTATTTACTTTTGAATCAAGCCTCCACAAGCAATAAAAAAATGCTAATTTAAATGCAAGCAACAATTAAGCTGCCTTTTGATACCAAACACTGTTCAAATCACAGAGAAATCAAAGAAGTTGTATCAAAGTCAGAGAAAGAATTCTAAGACATAAAAAGTGAAGAAGCTACAAATCAAGAATTAAAAGTTACCACCAGGACCGGAGAGCTGGCTCAGTGGTTAAGAGTAAGCACCGATTGAATTCAGTTCCCAGCACCTGCACTGGGCAGACAGCTCACAGCCATCTGTGTAATAACACCAGGTACCGGGGCATTTGTGCCTCAGGCCTCCAAAAGCACCCCCATTCACATACACATGCATACCCACCCCGCACACGTACATGTACACATAATTAAAAATGAAACAAATCTGATTTTTTTCTTTTTAAAGTTATAAGATTTTTTTTTTTACTGTGGGGCATTTTCACCAAAAGATTCTATTGAAAGAGGAAATGGAAGAGAAGAAGGAACTATATACAGCATGTATCTGGCCTAGTTAGGAAACCCTGCTGAATGCATCATTGTTTTATTATCATTATGCTTCATGATTTTTCTATTTTTCTTCTCAATATGAATTTTTTCAATTATGCAATTCCCAGATAACTATCTGTCTACAGACTCAGAACTCAGAAGGGTGAGCTGACCCAACAGAACCTCATGACAGCTTATAGGGACTGCCTCCAACCATATGTGAATCTGTGTGACAGACTGCTATTAGGAGATACCCAGAAATACTGGCTATCAAAAATCAGTAAACCACATTCGAGGTATCATAGATGCTGAAAAAAATCCAGACAAGAAAACTTTTTAAAAATTTTTAAAATGTGTACTTGTGGATGTGTGTATGCCACATGTGTGCAGGTGTCCACAGAGGTCAAAAGAGAGCATGGACGCCTTGGAGCTGGAGTTACAGAAGGTTGCACACCACCTAATGTGGTGAGAACCAACGTAGAGCCCTCTGCAAGCGCAGCAAGCGCTCTTCATCTCTGAACCATACCTCTAGCTCCTTAAATAAGAACTTTTTGTCCTCAGACAGCTGAGGACACCGAGGCTTAGAATGGCTGTGAGCAACCTACATGCTACCAACAACAGAAAATAGAGATATGGGTGTTTCTTTTTCCACTTAATTTCTACGTAGAGGTACATTGGATATATTGGGAGATCTGGCTCTGCGGTAGAGTGCTTGCCACTTGCCTAGCCATGCGTGAGGTTCTAAGTAGCATTTCCAGCAACACACACACAGATATAGGAATCGAACTATGCTGTTTTGATGTCAGTTCTGTTTTGCTAATAGAAATAACACAGACTGCCCCACTTAGTCCATTTCTAGGGTGTTAGGAAATAAACAGCTCTGGAAAGCAATGTATTTGTCGCTCTGTTAATACGGAGGTACCTTTTGAGCCAACTCAGGGTTAAGAATCAATCAAGGGCATTTTGTGGGAGAGAAGATAAAGACTTAAGGACTTCTGTTTACTTCTGCAGAATACGCACTGTGTGAACTGGGGATAAAGAGGAGAAGGCCAAACGGTGCTGTCACAGTACTATGTTGAAGCAGGTGCATTTTGCAAAAGAAAAGCTGACTTAGCAAAGATTGAATTTTCTTTCACTGTTTTAAAACCTGTTGTCTTTAAACGTGTTCTGATGTGATAGCAGCAGACTGTTTTAGAACCACTTACAAAGGGCATACAGTATTTCAAGTAAACTTAGAAGACAGAAAATAAAATTGCCCAGGAAAACTTTGGGAAGTCTTCATATTCAGGATTGTGCTGGCTTGTGAGTGTTATAACGGGGCAAATGTGGTCAGAAACACTCACCCATTTCAAGTCTGACCCTGACTAACCCAAGCATGAACTAGTCATGGGAGCCACTGCGAGTCAGTCTTTCCTGGGAACAAAAGAAGGAAGCTATTACTCTTTTTGAAAACAACATACTGTTTTCATCAGAATCTCAACTGCAAATAATTGTGGAAATATTCTTACTTCTTAGATGGAGACACCCATACCTGAAGTTTAATAATGAGTAGGCTTTTCTGAACATGGTGAAAGTATGTACTGGCTCTGGGGTGTAGACAGTACTCTGGACTGGATTTTCACATTGTTCTCCTTGCCATGAGTTTTCTGAAGGGAATGCAAGATGCTCACTTTATATTCTTAATTGTTAGGTCTCTTCAAAGGGACTTGATCTCCAGTCTTTCCCCCAACTGTGCCTTCAAGTAGGAACTAATGCAGTCAGCATACATCAAACACTTTCTGGCTAAGGCCCAAGAAGCAAACATGGATAAGACGTAGTTCCTGCCTTAAAAGGACTCTCATTCTAGAAAATGAAATGGCTAGGCAAATAAGAACCCTTAAAGAGGGCAGTTGCAGAACCCATCAAAATTCCAAATGCATAAAAGCAGTGCCTAGAAATCTCACAACCCATCCAAAGGCTTGCACACACGTGAAAGGACATATGTACAAATGGTCTTCATTGTATTATTACTTGGAAGAGCAAAAAATGGATGTTGTATTAGTTACTTTTGTATTGCTGTGATAAAACACCATGACCAGGGCTACTTATAGAAGGAAGGGTTTATTTGACCCTCTCATTCCAGGGAGATGAGTCCACGATGGCAAAGTAGAAGTGTGGCAGCTAGAGCTGAATCTGAGAACTTAACATTTTGAACACCAAACAGGAAGAAAAGAAATGGAATCAGAAAGGGCATTGAGGCTTTGGAACCTTAAAGCCCACCCCCAGGAGGTACTTTCTACAGCAAGGTCACACCTCCTAAGGTCCCTGTAACAATGCCACCTCCTCCCCCCCAACTATTCAAGTGCATCTATAAGGAACATTCTCATCCAAACCTCCCCACAGGTGCCAATCAAATGTCCCTCTGTAGGAAACTAGTTCATTAAGTTTGGGGACATTTTTATAATGGATTATTCTATAGCTGGAAAAAATGAAAACTAAAATGAGAAACTCCTGGATAGTGGAAGTGGAAAGATTACCAAGGCACATGAAGTGAGTGAGCTAAGCAAAAAGAGGACCATGCGTGGCATGAGATGTCTTAGCTTCGTAAAAGGTGATAGATTTTTTTTAAAAAAAATGGCTTTATATGATTATCTAGATGCAAAGAATGTGTAATTAATTAAAAGAAACTAAATACAATTATTATAACAATTACCTGAAGACAAGAATAAGTAATGGGTAGTGTTGATGTGGCAGATAAGAAACATTGGAAAATTTTCACTGTATATACACACATACACATTCTTTTTAAATTTAAAATATGGGGGCCAGAGAGATGGCTCAGCAGTTAAGAGTGTTTGCTGCTCTTGCAGAGGAGTAAGTTTTAGTTCCCAGCACCCATATCAGCTCACAAGTGTCTATAACTCCAGTGCCAGAGGAGTGAATGCCCACTTCTGACCTCTGTGGACACCTACACACACACACACACACACACACACACACACACATACAAATTAAAAATTAAATTTTGTGAAAAGTAAAACTACATATAGGAGGAAGACTGTTATTATGAAGACTTTTCTCTGAATCGTGAGACACAATTCGTGCCTTTCATTCTAGCACTTACTTTTGTTTTATATTTAGAATGAATATGCAACACTGTCATTGTTCCATGCTACACCAGTGGCTC